CAGACTCTGCGGCGAATTGGCCACCGCGTTAACCGACGGCGTTCCCTCGAAACCAATAACTCTATCAGCCAGATAAGTGGCCATTATGAAATCGTGTTCGACTATGAATCCCGTCTTCTTGGCGTGCAAGATGAATCGTTTGATCACTTTGGCTGCCATCAGACGCTGTTCGGAGTCCAAGTAGGCTGAGGGTTCGTCTATGAGATAGACGTCGGCCGGTTTGCCGAGGCAGAGAACGAGGGCGACGCGCTGCAGTTCGCCGCCGGAGAGGTTTTGGACTTCTTGGTCCATGATTTCTTCGATTTTCATGGGTTTCATTACGTCTGTTATGAACTGGAAATAGATAAATGTGGATAAATTAATATGGTATTTTGCCTTAAAGCAAGTTGCATAAATATCCCGAATAAAAGGTAAAAGGGTCTTTATTGACAAACAAACAAAAATTGAAAAGAGACGAAACGACAATTTTTTTGCACATTTAGCTCTGTATCTTCGAAATGGCTGGACCTGCCTTTGCCAAAAACTAATCACCTCTCCTCCCAATCATTACAAATTGAATGTATTTTGAATCATTTAAATCGGTTGATCCGTGCGCCTGAAAAGGCGGGCAAAAAATTGCGAACACATCCCATAATGTTCCAAAACCTCTTAAACGTGAAGATATGCAAAAAAAAATATTAGTTAATAAAAGGACTCTACTGACGAGAACATTGAAAATAGATTTAAAAAGAAATCCTGCTGACAAGCAAACTAAAAATGAAAAAAAAGGACTCAACTTGAATGTAAAGGAGCTGTACTAACAAGCAAATTAAAATATGAGACAAAAGGGAGTCTATTGGCGAGCAAAAAAAACGAAATGGAACAAGGACTCTATTAACGAGCAAAATAAATTTAATAAGAAAAGGGACTCTAATGATGAGGTAACTTTGATTAAAAATATAAAAAAGACTCTACTGACGAGCAAATTAAAAAAAAATGTTAATAGAAAAGAAACTCCACTGACTAGCAAATAAAACTTTTAAAAGAAAAGGAAAAGGAAAAAAATGTAAGAAAAGGGGACTGTACTTATGAGCAAATAGAAATTATAGTGAAAATAGACTCTACGAACAAGCAAACAAAATTTTAATAAAGAAAGAACTCTACTGTACTGAATGAGAGACAAAAACTGAAAAAATCAAAAAGGATCAAAATCAAAAAAACTCTACTGAGGAGAAAACTAAAATAAGACACCAAAGGGACTCTACTGACAAGCAAACTGAAATATGAATGGAAAAAGAACTCTACTGACCACAAATAAAATATGAATGAAAAAGAGAAAAAGCAAACACTGAATAAAAAACTGACAAGCTAACTGAAATTTGAATGGAAAAAGAACTCTACTTACGAGTAACCTAAAATAAAATGGACTTTATTGACAAGCACAAAAATTTTAACAGAAAAAGGACTATTGACGAAAAAACAAATTGCGGATATCAAATCAAAGTAAGAGTCAAAAGAGACTCTAGTGACGAACAAAGTAAAATAGAGCATAAAAAGGACTCAACTGCTGAGCAAACTGAAACAAAATAGAAAAAGAAGTCTACTGACAGGAAAATTGAAAATAAATTTAAAAATAAGCCCTACTGACAAGGAAACTAAAAATAAAGAAAAAAGGACTCAAATTGAAAGTGAAAGAGGAGGGTCTACTGACGAGCAAACTGAAATAAGAGACAAAACAATTGTAAAAGAGGAATTCTACTAACAGAGATCCTATTGACGAGTTAAAATACAATAATTTAGAAAGATTAGATAATCAAACTGCAATAATAGCAAAAAGAAACTCTACTGATGGAATATCTTGATTAATAATTAACAAATAAGCCATGAAAAAAACTATACTAAAAAGCAAATTTGAATAAGAGATCAATAGAAACTCTACTGGCCAGGAAAATTAAATAAAAAATGAAAGAAACTTCATTGACGAGCAAATTAAGTAAAAAAAGTTATAAAATAAAATGAATGAACAATGGAAATTCTACAAATGGAAACTACAAATGGAAAATAATATTTCCATTAATAAAAAAACTCTACTGAGGAGCAAAGTGCAATAAGAAAAAACAAACTGTACTAATGACATTAAAAAAAAAGACTTTACTGAATGTAAAATAAATTAGGTTGAAATAAAAAAAAATAGATTTGATACAAAACAAAACTAGGAGTAATATTATAAATGATCAACTTCTTACCTGTGGATGTATATATGCGTCCCTAATTTTCTCGTGCAGCAAATGCCTGACGTGCCCTTGAGATTTCGGCGAAATCTTCTGCGGTTTATAACTTATGTGTAATTGTGGTAACTTTGCAGAACCTGAAAAAATTACATTCATAAGCTCATGACAGATACATGTAATGAATTTAACACAAAACGATTTATCCTATTATTTTTAAAGGAATTGAAAAATTAAAAACAAATTTTCATATACGAGGTCTGTTCAAAAAGTTTTCGTAATTTTCGTTTTTTCAAAAACTAAAATAAAATATTTATTTATTCGTCTACATTAATGTGGTCCCCTTCAAAGTAGTCCCCCCCAGATATAATACACTTATGCCAGCGTTTTTTCCAATTTTCGAAGCACCCTTGATATTCACTTTTTGATATGTCCTTGAGCACTCTCGGCGATTCGGCCTTTATTTCTTCAATCGAGGAAAACCGCCGTCCTTTCATGGGTCTCTTCAACTTTGGGAATAGGAAAAAGTCACACGGAGCCATATCTGGTGAATTTTTGCACTTTGCAACACTTTATTTCATTTTTACGCAAAATTTAATACAAATTCTTTGACTTTTCAATTCTTCCATTGTAAAAATCGCCGAGCTCAGAAAAACACGTCGAACCTTAGCGACTACCACAGACAAAGTAAACAGTGAATATAGCTGAAAATTTCATCATACTTTAGGGGCATGTATACCAACACAATAAAAAAAAAATTTTGACAATCAGACACTCCAGACCCGCGAAATTTAATTATTAGTAATTCCGGGTACTTTTTGAACAGACCATGTATAATTAAGTTAATAAATGATGTGATGAAAAATCTGGAAATTGACAAATAAATCGCACAATTTAATATATAAAATCATTTTGTATGAAAATTAAATGTCCAAAATGTCTTACAAAATAATTTACAGAAATATAAGGTTGTCAAAGATCTCCCTTCCCCCTTTTTGTACTATAAACCAAAAGCAAAAAAGCGGAAGGGAGATATTTGACAAATATATCATATTATTTTTATAGGAATTGAAAAATTAAAAACAAATCGTCATATATAATTAACTTAATAAATGATATGATAAAAAATCTGCAAATTGACAAATAAATGGCTAAAAATTTAATACACAAAATCATTTTGTATGAAAATTAAATGTCCAAAATGTCTTACAAAATAATTTACAGAAATATTTGTAATTCATTTATCAAGTAATTGAAAACTTTTAACAATTTTTTCTTTACCTGCATCTGGTTCCAAGTTTCCGGCCAGCATTCTGATGAATGTCGTTTTACCGGTACCGTTTTCGCCCAATAATACTAAAATTTCGGAATCCGAAAACTGGCCCTGTTTTATTTCCAGGTGGAAATCGCCCATTGTCTTTGACATTGCTGGGTAAACGTAATGGTTCATACGTTTCACCTAAACAATAATAAATTATAAATTATATAAATAAAAATTACGCACATCAACTTTTATGTTTAAGTACAATATATATATTTATTATACCTCTTCTTCTGTAGCCGATTCAGCTACTTTAAAGACCAGCGATTCAGTCCTGAATCTCATGTTTTCCGTTGGCACATAACCGTCCAAAAATATGTTAATACCTTCTCGAACCGAGAAAGGCATAGTAACGACCCCATAGGCACCAGGAAGTCCATATAAACAACAAATAAAGTCGGAGAGGTAGTCCAATACTGACAGATCGTGCTCTACTACTATAATGAACCTAAAATGATAAAAAAATATATGTACTAGATGACCCGACAGACGTTGTCCTGTACCCACGCCTACAATTCATAAGCTCCAAATTTCTTAATATCCTATCTTATACTTTTTAATATACCATTTCATGCCCTGCCTTTGTGATTCACTTATGGTCTTGGCATAAGCAGTATAAGAAATTCAAAAAAAAAAAATAATAATATAGTATCTGCGGTAAAAAAACAATATCACACTTGATTTTACCATACAACATAATTGCTTCAATAATTTAGTCTATAATTTTCATAATCTCGTACGATCTATTTGTTGCTTTTTGGAAATTATATTTCTAAAGTACATTTTTCTTTCAAGTTCTTTACAAATAATTTACTCAATGTTTAATAATGTCATTTTTTTTAAATGAATTAAAAATTAATTTCATTGTAAACTAAGTAGTTTTTATTTACTTTATCTTATTTTTATTCAAATAAATTATAGCTAATTTAATTTAGCACAAATTTGCCGAATATTTATGAAAAAGAACTCTACTGACAAGCAACTTCAGACATTTTTTATACAAAAAGGAACTCTACTGATGAGCAAATTCCGACAGTATTAAAAAAACAAAGGAACTCTACTGACGAGCAAATTTTGACAAAGAAAATCTACTGATGGGCAAAATCAGACTTTTGTTTAAAAAAAAATAAAGAACTCTACTGACGAGCATCTACAGATATTAGAAAAAAAATTCTACTAACAAATTCAAAGTTTTTGCTATATCAGAAAAAAAAAACTACTGAAAACCAGCTTCTGACTCTTTTAATAAAAAAAAGAACCCTACGGACGAGCAAATTTATACATTTTTTTTCAAGAGTATCAACTCTACTGAGAAATAATTTCTGATACTTTAGAATAAAAAAGAACTCTACTAACAAGCAACTTTTGACACTTTTAAAAGAAAAAGAATCCTACTGACAAGCAAATTTATACATTAAAAAAACAACTCTACTGACGAGCAAATTCTGATGATATAGAAAAACAACTCTACTGACGAGCAAACTCATTTTTTTTTAAGAAAAAGAACTCCACCGGCAAACAAGATAATAAATTTAAAAAAAAAAGAAAAAAGAAAAATTAATGAGAAAAAATTATGATATACAATAAAGGGACTCTACTTACAAGCAAATTCAGTGCAATATATACAATAATAAAAAAGGAACTTTACTGACGAGGAAACTAAAAATGAAAGGATAAGGAACTCTATTGAAGAAAATATAATTAACTTAAAATGGACTTAAAAACAACTGACAAAAAAATAGAATTGAAACTAAAAAGAACTCTACTGATGAGCAAATTCTGATATTTTAGTGCAAATTCAAGTCAAAGTAAAATTACTCCAATAAATCAATTCAAGAAATAATGTGAACTTTTAATAATGTGAACGTTTTACGAAATATTTTTATATAATTTTGTTCCAACAGTTACAAATTGTTAAATAAAGATTTCTGGATAATTGAATTAACTTTCTAATGATATATAATAATATATACACATTTAAACAATATATTTAGAAAAATGTAATTTGAAATTTGAATTTTAAATCTTAACGGTTGATGCAAACGCGCGAACTTCACACTCGAAGTATTTTGGTCTCTTTTCTGTGCAGTAATTTATAAAAGATTTAGATGTTTACGATTAATTTTAATTATTGAATAATAAGTAGGTAATATTATGTCAACAATATATTATTAAATTGATATTTTGATTTATATATTTATTAATTTAATGTTAATATGTAATATTTATATTGATTCATAGCAATTTGAAATTCAAATCTTAACGCGCGAACTTCACACTGGAAGTATTTTGTTCAACCCTTGGTGCAGTAATTTAGTACTCTCAAATTATATAAAATGCTTTGTTGTTTTATATCTAATTTTAATAATTTTATATAAATAATATATAATTATATTGTATAAATATATCGATATTTTGATTTATATATTCAATAATTTAATGTATTCGCTTCTAAATATTTAAACTTTGATATTTTAAGATTTAAATGTAATGTGACTTATTAGTAATTTGAAATTTGAATCCTAACGCGCGAACTTCACACTTGAAGTATTTTGTTCCTAATTTTCGTGCAGTAATTTTGTCCTTCAGAGCAAATTTATACACTAGTTTACTATTTGCTAAATTATATAATAATATGTATTTAAATCGCTCCTCTTAGGATGCTCTTAAGTTTGCTCATCAGATAATAATTCTTATTATAAATAATTCTTAGTGAAGTTCATAGATTAACATTTATAATTTTTAGATATTTTTTAAACAAATTTTGTTTTTGCGAATTAATGCATTGGATTTATAATAAAATTAACTATTTTGTGAGAAACTAATTAGCATGTTAAATAATAATACATTTGTTACAAAATAAAAATATAAAATATATATTATTAATTAATTATGATTATTAACTTCCCGTAGGGTAAGTTATTGTAATGGGCCGAAAATCGGAATTGAAAATTTTTACATTTCTCGACGTTTTGAAGGTTTCTGAACATTTTACTGGCATACCTCAGAAAAAATGGATGTGTGTGTGTGTGTATGTATGTATGGATACAAATTTCCAGTCACGTTTTCGGGCGCACGGATCAACCGATTTGAATGGTTCAAAAAACATTCGATTCCTATCGATAAGGAAAAGAGCTGATTAGTTTTTGGCAAAGGCAGGTCCAGCAGTTACGGAGATAAGGAGCAAAGAATGCAAAAAATAGAAATCGAGTTTTTGAGAGAACGGAGCATCCGATTTGAATGATCTAAAAAACATTCAATTAGTAATGATTGGGAGAAGGGGTTATTAGTTTTTCGCAAAGGCAGGCCCAGCCATTTCGGAGATACAGAGCTAAATGTACAGCAAATGGCAGTTTTTGAGAGAACTAAGCGTCCGATTCGATTGATTCAAAGAACTTTCTGCTTGTCTTAACAAAATAATTGATTTTGGAAAAAAAAATTTTGTTTCATTTTTTTTTTTTTTTTAAGTTTTTTGTATATCGAAATATTTCAGATTTTATTTTCAATTCTGACTATAGTTCTAATATACTTTAAACAAATAATTTCAACTCTGCAATTCAGTTTATATAATCCTTATAAATATTAGACAATGTTACAATATTTATAATAATCTATTTGAAAACATTCAATATTCCTCGAACATTTCGTTACGGTGCGGGAAATTCCAGCAATTTGCCTTAAGGCACGATGCCACCCACCCCACTAGTTTAAATTTAAATATTATTGACAGTTAATATTTTAGGTTATATTTCCTCAACTGTCATTAGCAGATTATTAATTAATAAAATTTCATTCAACCTGCAAATGACAGTTAACTAAAACATTAAATAATAATAATTAAAAAATAAAAATAAATTAATTGCTCTTGTAACTAATATTATTTATTATTTACTAGCTTCTCACAAAGTAGTTAATTTTGTTGAAAACGAAATTATTTAAAATGTTATTCTATAATTCTTTATAAGCATACAAAAAGAAAATTATATGTTACTCTCTATAATTTTTTACTTACTTGTCTGGATGTATCAACGATCTTATCGTAACGGCAGCATTGAGTCTCTGCTTGACATCAAGATATGAAGAAGGTTCATCGAACATGAAAATGTCACCGTCTTGTATGCACACCATTGCACATGCAAATCGTTGCAATTCTCCTCCCGATAAAGCTGCAATGTCTCTTTCTCTGATGTGAGTTAGATCTAGAAAAAGATAAATTATATATATATATATATATATATATATATATATATATTTATATATATATGTAAAGTTTTTATTATTTACCTAAAAGTTCACAAATCTCTTTCTGATTCTTCCGCTCGTCCTTTTTATCCAAAAGTTGACAAACAGTTCCCTTGACAGCCTTCGGAATTTGATCAACGTACTGAGGCTTAATGAGAGCCTTCAAATGATCCTCTAAAATTTTTGTAAAATAATTCTGCAATTCTGAACCTCGGAAATGATTCAGAATTTCTATCCAATCTGGAGGATCCTTAAAAAAAAAGAAAAAAAAAACAATTGAACTAGTGGTGTACGGCATCATTCCTTAGGGCAAATTGCTGGAACTTCCCGTACGGAAACTACATTATTAAAAAAAAACTTGATTTTTTTTATATTTTCAATTTTTCTGTACTTTGATTTCTTTTTCAAATTTTTAACATTTTTTTAAGCATTCGCGCTGCATAGCTGATTTGGAGTCGAAATATCAAAGCGCGTAAGCGCTGCGTAATTGAAGAATTATTTTTATTTTATTTATTATTTTTGATACTTTTTGCTCCGTATCTCCGTAACGGCCAGACCTGCCTTTGTCACAAACTAATTAGTACGTCGAATGTTTTCTGAATCATTCAAATCAGTGGATCCGTGTTTGCAAAATCGTTGAAAATTTTTTTTTCGCACATACACACACTCATACATCCATTTTTTCTAAGGTATGCCAAAATGTTCAGAAGGTTTTAATATAAATAAAAATTTTCATTTTCGATTTTTTTGCTATTACTATAACTTGCCCTATGGGAAGTTAAAAAGAACTCTACCGACAAGCAAACTCAAGAACAATTTTTTGAAAAAAAAAAAGCTTATAAAATGTTATTTTAGAAAAGAAAAAAAACTATACTGACTGAGCAAATTCAGTGCCCTATATTCAATAATAAAAAGAGACTAATACGTCGTTAAGAAAAAGAAAAAAAAGGATAATATTTGTTTGTCAGTAGAGTTTCTTTTCCGTTTCAAATCTTTTTCCTGATCAGTAGAGTTCTCTTTTTAATTTCAAATCGTTGTTGTTCGTCAGTAGAGTCCCTTTTTTTTTTCAAATAATTTTTTTCGTCAGTAGAGTCCCTTTTTTTTCAAATAATTTTTTTCATCAGTAGAGTCGTTTTTTTCTTTTTAAATCAAGTTTGCTCGTCAGTAGTCTTTATATTTTTAAAAATGACTTTTAAAAGAAAAGAACTTTTATGAAGAATCTAGAATGTATTATAGAATACAACTCTACTGACGAGCAAAATTATTTAGTAAAGAAAAAGGAACTTTACTGATGAGCAAACTCAGTTTAGAAAAGCAAAATAGAATTCTTTTGACTGACAAACTGAATTAACAAAAAATGAACTCTACTGATAAATAACATTGATTTAAGAGAAAAAAAAAAAAAAAAACCTCCTGACAAAAAATTTCGCAAAAGTGTTTTTGATGAACAACCATAATTCAAATTAAAAAAAAAATTAAAAAGAAACTCTACTAACAAGCTAACTCAATTTAATAAAAAAGAAATAAAAGGGACTCTACTGACGAGAACCACGAAATAAATGATTTAGAGAAAAAGAAAAAAACTCTACTGACGAACAAAATCAATTTTAATAAAAAAAAGATTAGGAATGAAAAAACTCTATTGAAAAAAAATAAACACGATTTGAAGAGAAAAAAGTAACTTTTGATGAGCAAAATGGTGAAAAAACAAGAAACTCGACTGACTAACAAACTCTATTTAAAAAAAGACAAAATGTAAACTCTACTGACGAGCAAACACAATTTGAAAAAGACAAAAAGGTAACTCTACTAACAAACAAAAATTACTTAAAAATAAACAAGAGACTTTACTGACAAACAAAAATGATTTTGAAATGAAAAACGAACTGTACTGACAACCAAAAAAGATCTGAAGACAAAATAGATAGAATAAAAAAAACAAGTAAAAAAAAAAACTGCTGATGAAAAAATAATTTGAGAAGAAAAAAAGCGACTCTACTGACGCAAATTTGATTTAAAAAGAATCTACTGACAAACACAATTTAAATAAAAAATTGAATTCTACTAATGAACGCAAATGATTTGAAAATAATAATTAAAAACAAAGAAGGGACTCTACTGACAAAAGAACTCGATTTAAAAAAAAAAAGAAAAGAAAAAAATCTTCACCGACAGACACCATTTTTAAAAACAGAAAAAATAGACTACTGAAAAGCAAAAATGATCTGAAGAGTAAAAAGGAACTCTATTAATGAACAAACACGATTTCAAGAGAGGGAAAAGGTAATTCTACAAAAAAAATAATATTTCAGACAGTAAAATCGAATAGAACTCTACTGACAAGCAAACTCAAATGATATTTAAAAAAACAAAACTAGCTCTATCGACTGGCAAGTAATTGGTAAAACATTTTTGATGTATGGCTCAGAGGGGATCAGAGACGTGGAATGTAAAAAATACCTCGAGTAAAAAGGACTCAAGTAATTTTAATTTAAAATTTGCACTTAGTAAAATTTGCTTTTCAAAAAATAGTAGTTATGTGACCTTAAAAAATATATCTATTACAACGAAATTAATGAAACAAAGTGAGGTTAGAATGTACATACTTATAAATATGTACATATATATATATAAATATATATATATATATATATATATATATATATATATATACATTTATATATATATATATTTATATAAGAACATAAATTATCAATTATCACTTACCGCATATCTTCCTAAGTTAGGTTTTTCCTTCCCGGCCAATATTTTCAAAGCGGTAGATTTACCGATACCGTTCTGTCCTACTAAACCTAAAACTTCTCCAGGCCTCGGTATAGGCAGTCGATGCAACTTAAATGAATTCCTTGAATACCTGTGCGTTGTGTGTCTTTCTAAATTGCTCGGGATGTTTATGATTGTTATGGCTTCGAATGGACATTTCTGGAAAAAAATCATGAACACTTTGCATATCGACTGAAAACTAGGTCAACCTAGCCTTATTGACACAACCAAAAATAAGTTAAAATGAGTCTTTTACCCCACCTTGACACAAATACCGCATCCTATGCAAAGTTCTTCAGACAGGGCAGCGATTTTGCTATTAGGCGAGACTTCTATACAAAGTTTTCCCATTCTGACAACCGGACAAGACTTTTTGCACTCTTGCCGGCATCTTTTCGGTTTGCATTTATCGGCATTGACAATGGCTATACGAGTCTGTTTGTCGGTCTCTTCTGCAGCCTTACTCCTCGACATCCTAAAACAAAATAAAAGATTTATGTTAATAATTTGTTACCTCAGAGCCATATGCGTGGTATAACCTCAAAAAAAAAAGTGGAACTTGATAGAAAATTTATGTTTCGGGCAATAGAATGACTTTGGTACAAAAGTATTGTTATAAGTATGTTTTGTATTATGTTGTATGTGTTTTATGTCCTTTCTTACTTGTCAAATTGGTTAAAAAATATAAACAGGCCAACAAGGCTAAAATGCACTTGGTGCGGCCTCGCGGAGCAAAGAGACGGTTTGTTTGACAAAGTCGAGAGGGGAAACTTCACGGTTGACAGTTTCGAGTGAAGTTGACAGTTGTTCACACTTGACAGTTTCGGGTGTCTATGCGCGGTATGTTTGAAATACGAAATGAAATGTTATTTGACTTATGGACCGATTCTGCCTTAACATGGCTACGCTCTGTTATCGCACTTGCGTGGTAGCATAACATGCCTCGCGTAAGTGTATGTTGAAGATTAGTTATTCTCGGCTCACCTATTTTATGAGAATGAATCGTGTCATGGCGTAGCATGACCGAACAAAGTTTTTGGTTTTTTGATGTTGGCTCTCTGTGTTTGTACTCTCGAAATCGGCAATAATCTATCTCTACGGTGCTAATTTAACCTCAAAAAAGATGTTAAACGCATAATGTCAAAATAGCAAATGTCAAATCTGTTCATAGGGCAACTTCTCGCCAATGTTATGCATAAGTGCGTGTTTCTGACTACGTTTATTTTCAGAGGATTAGCGTAACATTAATGTTATCATATGATAAAACACATACCGCCGAGAATAAGTGTTACACTTATAATGACATTTTAAACGAAATAAGTGTGAACTTGTCGTAAAATTGAAACCGAGAATCGGCCCATTATATTTTATCGCGTTATTAATTTATTTACTTATATATATATATATATATATATAATTATATATATATATATATGTATATATAGTTAATAATTTATTTGTTTATTCATTTTACAAGCCGTCAGAATAATAATATTATAATAAGGCTTAAGTCAATATTTTATAGGTTTAATATAATTTAATTAATTATTAGCTATTTTATTACTTATTTATTTATTATTTAATTTATTTACTATAAACTTATTTATATTTAGTTAATTTTAATTATTTTTAAATATAACTAGTTCATTTGTTACAAGTATTTTTTAAAAATTTAATAAGTATTTTAATAATATATATATGTGTGTGTGTATATATATTACAGTATTTTACAGCCCAATCGTCAAATTAATAGGTTAAAAAAGCAAATTCTTTATTAATTAAATGTTTCGACTTCGAATGTGTGTCATCATATAATAATCAAACCAAGAAAAACACAAAAAAATATAACATAAAAAAAATAGAAGAATGACTGTTATTTTTGCAAACGTTTCGAGTCTGGATTTGACCCATCTTCAGTGCTAAAATAAAAAATAACTAACTAATAACTTATGCTTATTTATCTATTATTTACAGTCAGTAGAGTTCTTTTTGTTCCCAAAATGATGTTCTACTAATTTGTACTAATATTTTATTACTTTTTCTGAATTTGTTCATCAGTAGAGTTTCTTTTCTGCATTAAAAGGTTTATCTTTCTTTTAGTTCTCTTTTAGTTTAGTTAAATTTAAAAAAAAAAGCTCTTCAGTGAAGTTCTTTTTTCTTCTTATCATTCTTTTAGTTTCCAAATTTAAAAAAAAATTGCTCTTCAGTAAAGTTCTTTTTTCCTCAAAATGTAAAGTTTCTTTCCATTTTACAAATACTTATAATATACAAATTTGTTCGTCACTAAAAGACATTTTAACAATACTGTTTTAATTTGCTCGTCAGTAGAGTTCTTTTTATGTTTCCTAAATTCGTGTTTGCTCGTCAGTAGAGTTCCTTTTTTCTTTCCAAATCGTACTTGCTCGTCAGTAGATTTCTTTTTTACCAATTTTGTTCCAAAAATCGAGATTTGGTTTGCTCGACAGTAGAGTTCTTTTATGTGATGACTCGATATTTACGGTTTACTCGTCAGTAGAGTCCGTTTTTTCTTCAAATCGTCTTTATTCGTCAGTAGAGTCCTTCTTTATCCTCAAATCGCGTTTGCTCGTCAGTAGAGTCCACATTTCTTTTCAAATCGTGTTTTTCTTGTCAGTAGAGTCCTTTTTTCTTCTCTAATCGTGTTTTCCTTGTCAGAGTTCTTTTTTCTTTAAATCGTTTTTACACGTCAGTAGAGTCGCTTATTTAATGTAAGTCGTCTTTGTTGGTCAGTAGAATTTATTTCTTCTAAAAATGGCAGAATTTTTCTTGTCAGTAAAGTTCGTTTTCCTAAAAATGTCAGAACTTGCTCAATCGTAAAGTTCATTTTTTAAATTTTAGAATATGCTTGTCAGTATAGTCCTTTTTCTTCTAAAAAATGACAATTTGCTCGTCAGTTCCTTTTTTACTTTTAAAAATTTAGGAATTAGCTCCTCATTAGCTAGTTCTAAAATAATATTTTATTAACAATTGTTGAATTTGTTTGCCAGTAGAGTTCTTTCTTTGTCATCACATCTTGTTTGCTCGTCAGTAGTTTCCTTTTCTATTTAAAACGAGTTTGCTCGTCAGTAGAGTTTCTTTTCCATTTTCTTTTTCAGTTTGCTCGTAGATGGAGTCCCTTTTGCTCTTTTTTAATTTGCTTGTCAGTAGAGATCATTTCTCTAAAATCAAAAAATAAGAATTTGTTCGTCAGTAGTGTTTTTTCTTAAAAAAGTGCAAATTTACTCATCAGTAAAGTTATTCTTATTTTTTCAAAAAATGTCAGAATTTAGTGGTCGGTAGATTTCTTTATTTCTTATTTATTCTTAAAAAAAGTCTGTGTTTGCTCGTCAGTAGAGTTTCTTTTTTCTCCTTAAATCATTTTTGCTCGTCAGTAGAATTCATATTTTCTTTTCAAATCGTACTTGCTCGTCAGCAGAGCTTTTTTCTGTCTTTAAATCTTGTTTGCTCGTCAGTGGAGTTCCCGTCTCTATTAAAACTGTGTCTGTTTGTAAGTAGAGTCCCTTTTTTCTAAATCGTGTTTGCTCGTTAGTAAATTTTTTTTCCTCCTAATTACGTCGATATTTAGTTTGTTAGTCAGTAGAGTTCCATTTTTTTTTATAAATTGTCAGAACTTGCGCTAGTCAATTAAATATCACTAGTCTAAAACAAGCATAAGATAGCGTTGCCATGACAATGTTATTTTATGAGGCATAATTGCCCGATATAAATATTATAAGGACTTTTCGCAACTATTTAAGTTTGCTCGTCAGTAGAGTTCCTTTTACCATTCAATTCACACATTTCTCAATTTTAAAACAAATTTTATTTACAAACGAACAGAATAATACTCGAACATTTTTGCAGACAAGTCTTAATTAAAAAATAGTACATATATAGTAAATATAATTATTATTCATCTTATCTTATCTTTTAGTTTGTCGACGATGAAGATGGAGCTGCATCGGAGTAAACGGGTTCCGTATCAGCCTTATCATCTTTATCTTTATCCTTGTCTTTGTTGGCTTCGGGAACCCAAAGGCCTGAATCGACGCATCTTTTCATGTGATAGCAGGCCTCCTCTTCGGGCATCTTGGCAATGGTCTCTTGCAGGAGCGGGATGTCTTGGGCTTCGAAGCATTTCTGAAGGGCCTGGGGGAAAAATACATAGGAATAAAAGTTTAATACAAAAAAAAATAGTTTCAATTCTATTTTGCCGTCAGTAGTGTTCCCTTTTTGTTTCAAATCTACGTTGCTCGTCAGTAGAGCCCCTGTTTGTTCTAAATTTATGCTGCCTGTCAGTAGAGTCCATTTTGCTATAGATTTTTTTTAATAGTTTAAGACCAAGTCTAATTTGCTCGTCAGTAGAGTCCCTTTTATCTCTTTAAATCGTATTTGCTCGTCGGTAGAGTCTCTTTTCATTCTAAATATATGATGCTCGTCAGTAGAGTCTCTTTTCATTCTAAATCTATGATGCTCGTCAGTAGAGTCCCATTTTGTTCTAAATCCATGTGGCTCGTCACTAGAATTCCTTTTTTAATCTTCAGGATCAATTTTAAGTTTGCTCGTCAGTAGAGTCCCTTTTTAATCTTTAAAATCAATTTCATTTTGCTCATCTCTAATCCCGATGTTTATCGACAGTAAAGTTCCTTTTTCTCAATTTTTTTTATTATCCGGTATTACTTTTGCCCGTCAGTAGAGTCCCAATTAACTTATAATGATTTTATCATTATTTTTATTAATTTAATTTGCTTGTCAGTAGAGTCCCTTTTTTGTTAACATTTTTAAAATTCATTTTGCTCATCAGTAGAGTCCCTTTTTCTTAACTTTTTTTTATTATTTTCTTATACTAAATTTGCTCGTCAGTAGAGTCCCTTTTATCTCTCTACATTTTCCGAATTTTTTTTCAAGCATAATGTTTGTTCGTCAGTATAGTTCTTTTTTCATAAAAACGAACTTTTTTTCTAAAGACGAATTTCTAAAAACTCAATTTCTTAATCTGTACAAAAAACGGAGTAAATTTAACCAAAGAAAAAAAATATTTCAAGAAAATTGTATCTAAATTCTGTACAACTGAACAAAAATAAACTATACTAATAAATCTACTAATTTTCTTAGCCCTGAATAAAAAAGAACTCTACTATCAACTAATATGAATATAAACCATAACATAAAATGTCTATTATCCAAGTATTGGTCCTACAATAGAAACTATGGGGGCAATGTTCTCATGGCAACGCCATCTTATGCTTGTCTCTTAGTAACAAAAACCGTGAAAATGCTATCTACTTGCTATGCGATGAGTCGTTTTTTACATGTAAACAAGCAAGAAGAATGTTATGATAATAGAATCTACAAACATTCTTCCTTGCTTGCTGTTTGAATGTAAAATACGCCTTATAGCACGGCAAATAGACAGACATTTTCACAATTTTCACTACCAATAAACAAGCACAAGATAGTGTTGCCATGACAACGCTATTTTATGAGGCTACATATATTTACCTCCGGTAAAGATTCGAAGACTTCGGCCGGATCCAACCCTCCCGGCCCCAGCCTGGCCTGTCGCTCCTCCTCCTCGGCCTCGGCCACGGCTTCGGCGATCTTCTCGGCGGCCCTCTTCCTTATTCTCTCCTTGAAGGATCTCAGTTCATCGTCGAAGGAGTTTTTGTACTCCTTGTCTGCTATTTGGATACGGGAGAAGAACGAGGATACACAAGCCCTAAAGGGATAAAGAAAATTAAGGTAAGAATTGAAAGATTTAAAGTTAGTACAAAATGTTATGAGAAGTGTAATAGATGTTTTCGGTTACATGTTTTGTGCTATAGGAATATATAAATTAATAGAAAGATATTTCTATGTTTTATAAAAATGTATTAAAATATATCATTATCAAAACTAATGGACCGATTCTGCCGCATAACAGAGAGATGTTACGGCATGGCATGTTACTCTCCGACTCCCCATACATTATGCGAATGAATCATACTGAATGCTGTCAAAATATCATGTATTTGCTGTTCATTCCGGCGTTTTAAGCATAAACTGCAACGTCACTCGTATGTTATCTAAGAGGAATCAGAAACACACACTTATCTAACATCGTTTTTTTGACATTTGTGCGGCTTTTAGGTTATGTTTTGTATGAGAAAACCTGAGAAATTCGCCTGACTGAACACCAACCGCATAACTTTTGTCTATATTACTATGGAAAATTCTTCATAACATGACCTTATCATAAAATAGCGGCAGAATCGGTACCTAATACAAAATGTCATGACATGAATATTTGTTTCTATCAAATTCCAAGGCTCCTTATTGAATCCAACAGTGTTATATGGCAACACTAAGGAGATAACATTATTATCATTAGCCAGTTTAAAATGATGGGTACTCCTACTCCTGAGTTGCACTTAAAATATGCCTAAAGTCAAACTAATGTTATTTTGATTTATTTATTTTCTTCGTCAGTAGAGTTTATTATCTAAATTCTGTTTTTCTAAATTTGCTCGTCAGTATAATTCTTTTTATAATACGACAAGATCAAGAACGACTTTATAGATTGATTATTTTGATATACTTTTGATACATTTATTTTAAAAATTTAACTTATTTGCAAAAAAGGAACTCTACTGACGAGCAAACAAAGAAAGAAAATAATTCAACGACTCTACTGACGAGCAAACGAGAAAGAAAATAATTAAGGGACTCTACTGATGAGCAAATTGATAATTTCAAAACAAAAAGGAGCTCTACTGACGAAACTATTTAAATTTGCGAACTTTTTTAGATAGAAATGAAAAAATAGGACTGATGAACAAACTAAAAATAAGAAAGAAAATAAAGAAGAGACTCTACTGATAAAAAATGGGACTCTACTAATGAGCAAACAGAAATAAATAAAAATGGGACTCTACTGACGAGCATGCTAATTTTTGGAAGTGACTCCAGTAAATAAAAATTTAAAAACAAAAAGGAACTCTACTGACAAGCTAAGTACAAATAAGAAAGAAAATATTAAAGGGACTCTACTGACGAGCAAACTGAATTTTCACTTGAAAAAATCGGAGAAAAAATAATCTACTTACTAACAAATTTGGAAATTAGTAAAATGAAAAAAAAAACTGACGAGCAGGTGTAATTTTTTTTAAGGACAAAAATGTTATTCGAAGAAGATCTGAAAAAAAATTAAAAATGGGACTCTAGTGACGAGCAAATATAAAGGTTGAGACAAAAATATTAAAAGAAATAATGACTACTGACGAACAAACTAAATATAAAAGGGACTCTACTGAAGAATAAACTAATAAAAATTAAAAAATGATATCTACTGACTAATAATCTAAAAAAAAGAAAAATCTTAGGAGGAAGAGACTCTACTGACGAGCAAACTAAAAATAAGAAAAAAACTTTAAAGGGATTTTACAGACTACCAAACCAAAAAAGGACTCTACTGACGATCAAACCGAGAAAGAATATAAAAATGGACTCTAATGACAAACTAAATTAAGAAAAGAGAGGAATATTAGAGAAAAATAACTCTGCTGTCAAGCAAATAATAATTTTAAAACAAAGAGAAACTTTACTGAAAATAGATTAAAAAAGAAATCGACAACAAATTAAATTTCAATTTAAAATTTTGTGAAAAATGGACTGTACTGAGGACTAGGAACTAAACTGGAAAAAAGTTAGAGCAGAAGGGACTCTACTGACGAGCAAACTAAATTAATATTGACTTAATTTTATCAGTTTTCTAATGATACAAAATAATATATACACGTTTAAATAAATTGTTAAAGAAATTTGTCGAAATTTGAAAAAATGCAACCTGCAGACATATTTTTTTACCAAAATGGCGCCTTACGACTCTATATTCAATGCTAAAGTTTAAATATTCTTTCAATTTAATTTTGTTCCAAACGTTACAAATGGTTATATACAGATTTATAGATAATTTCATTAGCTTTATAATGATATATAATAGTATATATGTGTTTGAACGAATTGTTAAAGAAATTTGTCGGAATATGAAAAAATGTAACCGGCAGACATCTTAGTTTACAACGATGACATTCAATTCCAGTTTAAATACGTTTTTTCATATAATTTTGTTCCAAAAGTTACAAATTATAATAAAAATATTTATAATTAATTTAATTAGCATTCTAATGATATATAATAATATATACACGTCAAAACAATATTTTTGTTAAATATATTTGAAATTTGATTTTTAAATCTTAACGGTTGTTGCAAACGCGCAAACTTCACACTAAAAGTATTTTGTTCTCAAGAGTTACGTGCCATTTTGTTTCAACTGGTTTGTTATCCAAATATAAATTTTAAACAATTTTTCAAATGTAATTTTGTTCAAAACGTTACAAAGTGTTGTATAGTAGTTTTGTAGATAATTTCATTACCTTTCAAATGATATATAATAGTATATAAATGTTTAAATAAATTGTTGAAGAAATTTGGCGGAATATGAAAAAATGTAACCGGCAGACATATTTGTTTAAAAAATGGCGTCACACGACTCAATGCTAATTAAGTCAATTTAATTTTGTTTCAAACGTTACAAATTGTTATATACAGATTTGTAGATAATTTTATCAGTTTTCTAACGATATATAATAATATATTAATATTATTAATATTAAAAAAATGACCAAAATATTTTAAAATGTAACAATACCGTATATGAAGTGTTTGGATGATTCAAATTCAATTTCAAAGTTTTTTTAAATGAGTTTGTTCCAGAAGTTTCAAATTGTTATAAACATATTTATAAATAATTGTATCACTTTTATAATAATATATACACGTTTAGATCATTTTTTTGTTAAATTTATTTAAAATTTGAATTTCAAATCTTAACGGTTGTGGCAAAAGTGCCGACTTCACACTCAACAGTTACGTGCAGCCATTTTGTTTTGCTCTCAACAGTTACGTGCGGCCATTTTGTTTTGTTGGTTTGTTATCCGATTATAAATTATAAACATTTTTTAAATATAATTTTGTACTAAGAGTTTTAAATTGTTATACACAGATTTGTAGATAATTTCATTACCTTTCTAATAATATATAACAATATATACTTGTTTGAACGAATTGTTAACAAAAAATAGCAAAATGTGCAAAAATGTAACAGAATGTATATTTTCCCTTACCTCGGATCGACTTCCAGCTGCTTCGCCAGCTCCAGCATATACTGCATACATATCGTCTGATGTGCAACATGCTCCATCAGATCGTGCTTCTCCTCCATCTCCAGATTGATACACCAGATAACCAGATAATTAGCCGTGTTCTCGCAAACCAGATGAGTGTGCTCCTGCAGATACTTCTTGGAATCATCGTACCTAGTGTTAGAACGAAATATCGATTATTGAGTAAATGTCGATACTTTGCTTTCGGAATATCGAAAACTGTTTTTCATAATCTCTCATACCAGACACCTCTGTCTGACTGAGATATGAAAACAATGTATATATATATATATATATATATATATATATATATATATGATTTAGTAGTTAATTTTGATGTTGAAATATATGAGTGAGTTCTTGAGGGCGATACATCAAACAAAGAAAAGCCAAAGATTTATAAAATAATCTTTATTTCCAAACGTTTCGACATTCAATTTAATGTCGTCATCAGTGGATCTAAAAACAGTATGAAAATTAGCATATCTAGGTAATTATAATATATGTGGATTGGTAAAGTAACTATACAATAAGAGAAAAATTAACAAACAGCAACACTTAACAACAAACCAAATATAAAAGATAGGAAAGGTAGTAGAGACTAGAATTAAATAAATAATTAAAAAGTATAGGCAGAAATATTTAAGTACACTCATATAAACCTACGCATATATACATATATATACATACACATATACGTTTATATGAGTGTACTTAAATATTTCTGCCTATACTTTTTAATTATTTATTTAATTCTAGTCTCTACTACCTTTCCTATCTTTTATATTTGGTTTGTTGTTAAGTGTTGCTGTTTGTTAATTTTTCTCTTATTGTATAGTTACTTTACCAATCCACATATATTATAATTACCTAGATATGCTAATTTTCATACTGTTTTTAGATCCACTGATGACGACATTAAATTGAATGTCGAAACGTTTGGAAATAAAGATTATTTTATAAATCTTTGGCTTTTCTTTGTTTGATGTATCGCCCTCAAGAACTCACTCATATATATATATATATATATATATATATATATATATATATAAAATAAACTAGCAAACCCGACGAACTCCGTTTCGCCATCAGACGGTTTTGTGAGAAAGATGAAGGAATTTTTTGTTTGTTTTATATTTGAAAAGGAAAAATTTGATTTTATTGCACAACAGTAATGAATTTATTTCTATTCTATTAGTTTTTTAGTTGAACTTCTCTAAGTAAATGAAAGTGAATCCGCAAATTATCCGTTTCATTCAAGTGCTCTTTGGTAAACCACATTTTTTGTTTTTTGGTCTGACGTTAACACAAACAAAGCGGACGGTTTTCCAACTCGTGAACAGGCAACGTATAACTGCCCATGTGAAAAACAATGATTTTCTAAATAATCTATTTGAAATTGATCCCGCAAACACTAAGCTATTAGCCTTGCGACTTGTTATTGCGAACGCAAGGCGAACTGCAAATTGCAATCGTTTGAAGTCAAACGGAAGCCCAGTCGGAATCATTGGTATGCCACCAAATCGCCAGCAATTTTTGATTGAATGGTGAAATTCAGTGCGTGTACATCATATCTCTTGGCGGCAAGAATTGCTCGTTGACTTAACCAAGCATAATTCAGATAATTCTCACTAATGTCATTACTCGAATTTTTAATTACGGTGCGTGAAGTTCCAGCAGCTTGCATTAAGGCACGATGCCATGCACCACTAATTTTCTTAGCTATAAACGTTGCGGTGCCCGAGACCTTTCCAACGAATGCAAAATTGTCGAAATCGGTTCGTGCGTTCTGGAGTTATTTCGTCAGGAAGGAAACCCCGACTTATTTTTATATATATAGAAGATAAAATAAAAAATTAAAAAAAAATTAAAAAATAGTGAGTACTTTTCCTATCGATTTTTTAGCTCGATCTATTTGCCAATATCGATTCTTTTCGTCGATAGTACTCAAAAAGAATCGACAGTGTAATCTATGAAACCACTCATTTTGCGAAATGCAATGCAATAGTCTCTCTAGGTGGTCATAACTGTTCAAAGAAGTGCCAAAAAATGACCCCGAAGGGTCATTAGTCTCAGAATTTATTGCTCAAAAACCCAAAATGAATATGACCACACTAATAAACTAGTTGGTATTGGTATTTAGCCTTGAGGCAAGTTACATGAACTTCCCGATATGTGTAAATAATCGACTTAATCAATAAGAAATAAATTGATTTATGCGTGATTAAAAGTATTCCGAGTGGATTTATTACACATCATTGAAACGAACGAACACTTTGACTCGGAATATTTTCAAAAAGCAACAATTATTATATTTGAACCAGTTTCCGTAGGATTATAATGGTTTAGTACGTATATTTATTAAGACCAAGTACTATATTGTTATACCAAATAAATCGTCCAATTTTAATTTTAGCTAACGTCAAAAAAACTACTCATTTTGACAAATTTTGATGAATTTTTAAAATTAAACTACTTGTCGTAAGGCCGTAATATCACAGTAAGTTCTATAAGACCATGATGTATATCGCTAAAAAAAGTTCCATGAAAATCGGCTTAAATTTTTTTTCAACAGTTAATTACAAGAAAACGGCTCGGTAGATTTTCACCTAAAACTAATCAGCATCAATCCCAACTGATATCTTTTGAACAGTTTTTGATTTTTTAAAATCGGTTCGGTAGGATGAGCTTAAATGTGGAAGAAAAGTTTAACACTTTTTTTCAAATTACAAAGAAACGGCATCGCAGATCGTCGCACAAAACTGACAAACGATAGTCCTCGTCGATATACATCAAATGGCTTTTAAATTTCTGAAAACGGTTCAGGCGTTTTTGAGAAAACGTCGATGAAAGTTCTAATTTTGATAAATTCCAAAAAAACGATACCAATTTTTGCAAACTTTGACGAATTTTTAAAGCTAAACCAGTTGTCGTAGGGCCGTAATATTTTAGTATGATCTAGAAGACTATAGTATCTACCGTCAAAAAAATAATAATTAAAATCGTCGAAAAAAAATTTTTTAACACTTTATTACAAGAAAACGGCCCGGCCGATCTTTACCAAAAACTAATCGGCACGATTCCCAACCAATATCTTTCGAACGGTTTTTGAATTTTCAAAATCGATTAAGAATTGCGGGCTAAAACGTAGACGAAATTTTTTTCACTTTTTTGCGATTTATAAAAAAACAGCTTGGCCGATCGTCCCACAAAACTGACAAACAATAGTCCTCATCGAGATACATCGAATGGCTTTTAAATTTTTGAAATCGGCCCAGCCGTTTTCGAGAAAACGTCGATTTACGGCAAAAAATCTGTTCACACACACGCACACACACATACACACACACATACTTTTCCCTTGAACTTGGTCTCATTCGATTCAGAATGGCTTGAAACTTCGGGAAAACATAAAATTAGCAAATCGGATTTTTTGATGAAAACATAAACTTCTCCTTCGGGAAGTTAAAAAATTTTTTTTTAAATTTTCAAAAACTCGAGGGATGATGACGCAATCGCGAGATGCTTGCCAGACCGGCACTTTCTTAATGTACCGATAATAAAATATCATTAAAAAAAAATTTTAGCTCTGAGAAAACATGTTAGTCAAATAGTTCTTTGGCTCTTAGACTATAGTGTTAAAATACTCAATATCGATCTTTTGCCTCGATACTGCTAACACTAATCGTAAACTAGATGTAAGTGGAATTCTGTCTTAAGGCAATTAGGGCATCGTGCCTTAAGGCAAATTGCTGGAACTTCCCGTACCAAAAATTATTATTTTTTTTAAAAACGTTTAACATTTTTGAAAAAATTTTACTTTGAAAAAGATTTTTGAGAAACTATAAATTTGACAAAAAATTACTTTTTTTTGAGAAAAAAATTTTTTTTTTGAAAACAAAAAATTTTTTTGAAAAAAAATGTTTTCTTCATTTTGACATATTTTGGAAATTCTGAACTTTTTTTCAAAGCAATCGCACTGCTTGAACTGCATAGAGACAAAATATAAAGCGCGTAAGCGCCGCGTCGCTGTCTAACGGGTAAACATTGGTACGGAACCCATAGGAATGCAAACAAAATTTATACTTATTGTTAAAATCTCTATAAAATATCTGATAATTTGATGTGCATAAATCTAATGATCATTTTTGACCGCCAAATGGCATTTTTTTTTACTTTTTTCATTAGATCTCCGAAACCGCTAGACCTGCCTTTATGAAAATTTGATCGATTCTTCATCTTGTCAATATAAGTAAAATGTTTTTTGAATTATTAAAATCGGACGCTTAGTTCTCTCAAAAACTGCAATTTTTTACATATTTAGCTCCGTATCTTCGAAATGGCTGGACCTGCCTTTGCCAAAAACTAATCAGCTCTTTTCCCTATCAATAGGAATCGAATGTTTTTTGAACCATTCAAATCGGTTGATCCGTGCGCCCTAAAACGTGACTGGAAATTTGTATCCACACATACATACACACACACACACACACACACACACATCCATTTTTTCTGAGGTATGCCAAAACGTTCAGAAACCTTCAAAACGTCGAGAAATGTAAAAAATTTCGATTTCGATTTTTGGACGATTACAATAACTTATCCTACGGGAAGTTAATAAATAAAAAATAATCTAGAAAAAAGGAACTTACCTCCTCATCATCCCAAAGACCTTCAACTCCTTCTCATACTTCTTAATAAACTCTCTCATGTTAGCCTCGCGTTGCTCCTCCGTTAAATTATCCTCCTTAGGCTTGACTTGTTTATTAATAACAGTTTTCTCGAATCCCGATTTACTGATAGTATCCACATTCCACGGAGTCGTCTTTTCCTTTTTCTTGATCTCTTCCTCCTTCTGTTTGAGTTTTTCGGCTTCCATTTCGAGATTGGCCAAGGATTTTTTCAGTCTTCGATGTCGCCCCCAGATGTAGATTTTAATTTTCTTGTTTCGGTTCGTTTGCGTTCGTTTTCCTTCTTGGTTTTCTCGTGCTCCTCGAGCTCCTTCTGCATCTGCTCCATGCGTTGACGCCAACGGAATAGGGATGGTGTGTGTCGATGTTTGGGTGGGTTTCGTCTTCATCGTCGGAGATCTGGTGAAAAAAAATGGGAAAAATATTGTGAAATGGTGATAATAATTGTGTATATTAAATTGAAGGTTAAAAGTTTGGCGAGTGCTTGCCGTGTCGTCCGAGCCTAATACAAGGATTTCTCGTGCGTTTTTAGTTAGGCTTGGATGTGTATGGTAAGCGTTACGAAAATAATAAAGAAACTAAATTAAGGCTGAAGAAAAAAATTGGAGAAAAAGACTCTACTGACGAGCAAATATTAATTTTGAGACAAAAATGTTAAGGACGAATAATTTACTGACGAGTAAATTGAAAAAGAAAATAAAAAGGAACGCTATTGACGAGCAAACAACTTGTAGAGAAAAAAAAAAACTATAACAAAATGAAATAACGAACAAACTATATAAGAACTAGAAAAAAAATTAGGAGAAAGTGACTCTACTGACAAGCAAATGATAATTCTACTGACGAGCAAATGATAATTCTAAAAGAAAAACTGGACTCTACTGCCGAGCAAACTAAATTAAGACTGGGGAAAAATATTAGAGGAAAGGGACTGTAGTGACGAGTAAATGAAATTCTAAAACAAAAAAGAAACTACTGACGAGCAAAATTAGGACCATTGAAATATTAGGAAAATTAGGAAAATGGGTTTCTACTGATGAGCAAATGAAAATTTTAAAATAAAAAAGGAACTCTACTGATGAGCAAACAGAGACAAAAAATAAAAAAAGGTCTCTACTGGCGAGCAAACTGAGAAAGAATATAAAAAGGGACTCTCTACTGAAGAGTAATATAAAAAGAACTCTACTAACGAGCAAACTAAATTAGGAATGAAAAAAGGGACTCTAGCGACAAGCAAACTCTACTAAAGAGCAAACTGGAAAAGAAAATACAAAAGGACTCTACTGACTAGCAAACTGAAAGAGAAAATCTAAAAAGGACTTTTCTATGAGCCAACAGATACAAAAAATTAATAAAGGACTCTACTGACGAGCAAACTTGAAAAAACAAGCAATATTCTTGGCGAGCAATCTCGTTCTTTCAGCTTGCTCGTCAGTACAGTTCCTTTTCTTTTAGTTTCTTCGGGAGTGCAATTACATTTCTTTTGATTTCAATTGCTTGTTTGTAGAGTTTTTCGATTTTCTTATGACTTTAATAAATTTTCTTAACTTTCTTTATATTTTACGGGTATTAAAGAAGAAACCCTACTGACAAGAAAACTAAAAAATAAAATAAAGAAAAATGGAAAAGTAACTCTACTAACGAGCGAATTGAGAAGGAAAACTGGTGGTGTATGAGATCATGCCTTAAAACAAATTGCAGAAACTTCCCGTACAGTTTCTTAAAAATACTGTTTTTTGAAAATTTAGAAATTTTGTGGAAACTTGAAAAGTTTAATGAGAACTGATTTTTTTTGCAAATTTTAAAAATGCTTGATAGTTTTCGATATCCATACACATACATACATACATACACCAACTTTTTCGCCTTAAAAATGTTCAGAAGTCCCTGAAACGTAAAATTATGCAAACATTTTCATTTTCGATTAGAAGAACTTACACTACGGAAAGTTAATAAAAAGGGTTCAATATGATATATTAATTTTACTAAAATATAATTGGCATGTCAGCACAGTTCTTTAATTTCCAATTAATATTTTTATGAAAAACACAAAACGTGATTAAACGTTTGCTCGTCAATGAGTTCGTTTTGTTATTACTATTCTTAATGTAGAAGTTGTAACAAACAAACTAGAATTTGTTGTCTTTTTTAAAATTATTAATAAAAATTTGCTTGTCAATGCAGTTCATTTTTATCAATATGTATTTTTGATGAATATTTTGTTGCAAATATTTTTCAGCAATATAATATCCTACTTATTACACTTGCATGTGTAAAAAATAATTCTCAGTGCTTTAATTTACCGTTCGTGTCCAATTTGCACTACAATATAACTCATTATATTATTGAATAATCAACTTTTAAGCTTAGAACTTCATTTAAATCAATTGATGTACTTAGTATTAAATTTATAGATTTCATACCCTATCAAACGTGCTCATACATTCCAGTGTTAATAAATTACTTATCTACTCAATTAGTTTTATGACATCTATCATAATGAAAATTTTTACTTCGAGCAGTATTTTGTTAATTGATAACTTTTCACTATTTACTTGTTAAGTTTTATAAATATAACTAGCAAACCCGACGAACTTCGTTTCGACACCAGATGGTTTCGTGAGAAAGATGAAGTTTTTTGTTTGTTTTATATTTGAAAAGGAAAAATTTGATCAGGAAAGAAAACCCGACTTATTTTTATATATATAGAAGATAATCTATTTGCAATTATTTAAAACAATTATTGATTATTTTTAATACTCGAATTTTTAATTACGGTGTGTGAAGTTCCAGCAATTTGCATTAGGGCACGATGCCATGCACCACAATTTTCTTAGCTATAAACCTTGCGGAGCCCGAGACCCTTCCAACGAATGCAAAATTGTCGAAATCGGTTTGTTCTGGAGTTATTTCGTCAGGAAGGAAAACCCGACTTATATTTTTATATATATAGAAGATAATTTATTTGCAATTATTTAAAACAATTATTGATTATTTTTATTACTCGAATTTTTAATTACGGTGCGTGAAGTTCCAGCAGCTTGCATTAAGGCACGATGCCATGCACAACTAATTTTCTTAGCTATAAACCTTGCTGAGGCCGAGACCTTTCCAACGAATGCAAAATTGTCGAAATCGGTTCGTGCGTTCTGGAGTTATTTCGTCAGGAAGGAAAACCCGACTTATTTTTATATATATAGAAGATTACTTTTGACTCTAGAAAAGTATTTTAACTTTACAATATGCTCTTCATTTTTGACATTGTTCTCACTTTACAGAAAAAAGTTTTATATAAATTGAGAAACAATAAATACAAATTGAGATACACAACTTTATAACTTGATAAAGATTAAAATATAATATATTATTATATTAAGATATAATATCAATCGTGTCTGTGATTATACTATTTTGGAAAAATCTCAATTTAAGATGAATTAATATTTTATTATTATTATGATTTATGAGGTGCATACATGAATAAATTACTAATATACAAATAGTTGCTTCTAGAAACTAACCACTAAAGTTAGAACATCATAATAAAATCATTTCATTCAACAATCTGTTTATCGAGTTTAAAATAAGAAATCAAATAATCATTAATGTTGTGTTTATAATTAGCAACTAACGTATAGAGTACACATAGTTGTTACAAAAACCATAATTGTGTATGAGCATGATTAAAAACAAGATATATATATACAAACGAGTTAAAAGCAAGATATAATATCAAACGTATCTGTGATTTTACTATTTTGAAAAAATCACAATTACAGTTAATTTAATATTTTAATATAACAGCTTCGAGAATTGAACCATTAATATTAGAACATTAGGATAAAATCATACTCTGTTCAATAATCAGTTCATCGAGTTTAAAATAAGAAAGCAAATAAGTATTAATGTTATGCTTTTGAATAGCAACTAACGTAAAGAGTACACATAGTTGTTACAAAAATCTTATAAGCAGTGTACATCCCGAGAAGCAAAAACTAATGTCAAAGGCTTTGAAAGAAATAGTGAACGATTTAAGGAGTCACCACATTGTTCCAATGTGTACACAGAACAAATTGAAGTACATACTTAGGTCAATCCATACTTAATATATATTTGTTGACATAATCCAAGACTCTAGTACATGTCGGTAAGCAAAACTAGCAAGTTGCACAAATTCATACACACCCTTTTGCACAAAACCTCATAAAACCATATCTACAAACATATAATTCATATATATATATATATATATATATATATATATATATATATTCATATAATTATATATTTCATATTATTATCTTCCTTTCTACGCCTCAAAAACAAACCCTCTAACCTAACCTAAAAAAAAACTTTCAAACGTCATTTAACAGAAAAGTATTATAATTTACCTCAATATTTTTCCATTTGCTGTAATCCACCATCGTATTAATTGATATTATTTATTATTATAGCCAGTAAAATGGGTTTTTGTAAACAAATTCACAACAATTCCAGAATATTCTTGTTTGATGTTACAATTTCTTTGTGAATGTTATTTTTCTTGAGAAATGATAAAGAGGTTGCAATAAGTGGCGCTAGATGGCGGCATGGGTAAAGGAAATTTGAAATTAACGTTTGAATTTTGACAACTGTCAAAATAGTAAAATGAATTTGTCCGATTGTTTTTATTTTAAATTGTAATTTAATATTCTAAACTGCTTTTATTTTAAATTTAAAGTGCTAAAATATTGTCATATAATGCAATAGTTTTCCCAAATCATTCAGACGTTATAATGACATTCTAGGTTATGTTTGCATTTCTGAACTAGTCGAAAGTGGCATTTAGCCTTAAGGCAAGTTGCATGAACTTCCCGATAAGTTCAATAATTGACTTAATCAATCGAAATTAAAATTTAGATATTTATATAAAGTTAGTTCAACTGTTTATTTCAAAAATAAATATTACATACAGTAGTAAATAGTTCATTACTGGATTGTAGAAATTGAAAAGTATAATCTGAAAATACAACTAAGAGAAAACTAATGGTGTATGGCATCGTGCCTTAAGACAAATTGCAGGAACTTCCCGTACCGTAACGAAATATTCAAGAAATTTTAAACGTTTTCAAATATATTATTACAAATACTCTGTAACTTTAATTATTTTTACTATCTTGTTTGTTATATCTGAGCAAATCAAATGTAAATCATAAATCTCCAAAATTTATCTCCAGAACATTAACAAACGTTCGTCATTTCGAATTCAATTTAAAAAAAAAATTAGTTGCCTAATTTTGCACAAAATTGAAAAAGTGCTTCCGTATAGTCACAGTCTAAACGCATTTGCAAATAATTCTGTGCGACATATTCACTTATACTGTGCTTAGCTTGGCGGCATTTTCACATTTTTCAATAGTTTTTTTTCACAAAATTGGAAAATTGCTCCAGTACATAAACAGTCTAAACGCACTTTCGAATATATTTGTACCAGAGTGGCGGTTAGACTGTGCTTAGCATGGATGATTTTTTAAATTTTTTGAATTTTTAATCCAAAATTACAAAAATATTTTATGGAAAATAAAAAAGGACGTAATAATGTTTTATCCCCAAAAGCAATTGTATTGTCAATATAAGCAGAGAGTTTTTTAAATCATTTCATTTTCACTGTCAAAATTATTGGTTGATAGAATTTGTCCGATTGTTTTTATTTTAAATTGTACTTTGTATTTTAAACTGCTTTTATTTTAAATTTAAAGTGATTTAATTTAAAATGCCAAAATATTGTCGTCTAATAAACTAGTTTTTAGTTTTCCAAAGCTATTAGACGATGTTACACATTCTAGGTTATGTTTGTGATTGTATATTACTCGAAATAATGGTTTTAAAATTTTTATAAGTATAGCGTTATATTTAAATTGAAATATTTCTAATGAACAAGTAATAATTTACTATAAGACGACAAAACTAATTCTTAACAATTTAAATAAAAATATTAGAGGATTCTGCCTTACAACAGACAAATGTTATGGCAAGGCCATGTTACGCTCCAATTTCCACATATTATGGTGAATCATACTGAATACTGTCAAAATGTCCATGTGGCTGCTGTGCTTTCAGGCGTTTTACATATAAACTGCAACGTCACTCGTATGTTATGAAGCTGGGTCAGAAAGACCCTGTTATCTAAGATCGTTTTTTCATATTTGTGCGGTTTCTGTGTTATGTTTTCTATCAGACAACATTGGAAATACGCCTGACTCCACAGAAACCGCATGGCTTTTCTCAATAATTAGTATTAGTAAAGTTCTTCATAACATAGCCTTGCCATAACATTGGTCTGTTATGCGTCAGAATCGGTCCAAAAATCTCAATTAGTTGCAACTTACAACTAGTTTTGTTTATTAATTATTTATACGTATCAGAATACTAATAGAATATATAAATAGAATAGAATACAAATATATTTATATTTATATATTAATTAATGCTTCAGATTATTAGTCAGTAGAGTTCTTTTTAACTTCCCGTAGGGTAAGTTATTGTAATGGGCCGAAAATCGGAATTGAAAATTTTTACATTTCTCGACGTTTGAAGGTTTCTGAACGTTTTGGCATACCTCAGAAAAATGATGTGTGTGTGTGTGTGTGTGTGTGTGTGTGTATGTATGTGTGGATACAAAGTTTTGTGTATATCGAAAATATTTCAGATTTTATTTTTAATTCTGACTATACGTAGTTCTAATATACTTTACAAATAATTTCAACTCTGCAATTCAGTTTATAAAATTCTTATAAATATTTATAATAATCTATTTGAAAACATTCAGTATTCCTCGAACATTTCGTTACGGTACGGGAAGTTCCAGCAATTTGCTTAAGGCACGATGTCATAATTGCCTCAAGACAGAATTCCACTTACAGCTAGTTCTTTTTTCAGTTTCCTTGAAAGATTTTGTTACTTGATGTTTACATTTATTACGTAATTTTCACGTCAGTAGAGTCCCTTTCTCAATTGAAAATCTTAATTTGAAATTTTTGCAGTATTAAGCAGTTTGTTCGTCAGTAGGGTTCGTTTGTCAGTATTTTTACACAGCATTATAATTATGACTCATGCCTTTATTTCATTGTGATGTAGTTTTTCTTTAATTTCTAAGATGATATTTAATTAACTTGTCTGTAGAGTCCTTTTCTTATCTCCTAGTTGTTGATATTTAACTTGCTCGTCAGTAGAATCCTTTTTATCTTTTTGTAATGGGACGTCCATTAATCACGTGAGCGAGCTTTTAAGGATTTTTGTAATTGTAATTACAGTGCACATGACACTTGTGTTTGTATGTCCTAAAATTGTTCTAAATTTTAATTAATTTATACAATTCAACGCATTTTTGCAGGAGGTTTAATGCATCTATTTATATTAACAAAGAAACGGCTTGGCTGATCATCGCACAAAACTGACAAACGAAAGTCCTTATCGAGTTACATCTAAAAGGCTTTTAAATTTTTGAAATCGATCGAGTCGTTTTTGAGAACACTTTGACGAAAGATGAAAAATCAGCTCAAATTCACACACATATTTTTTCCAAATTCGGTCTCATCCGATTCAGAATGACTTGAAACGTTTAGAAAATGTAAAATTAGCCGAAATTAGAACCTGATATTTGTTATAAATATGCATGAGCACATTAACCCTTAAATTTTTACCCACCTACCTTTTCTTCAACTCCAAAATTTTATTTTTTCATTTATTCGTTTTAGAAAATAAATAACTTTTTGGTCAATATATGTTTTTGACTTCGTTTTAGTCCAGATTTTTTGAATTTTTGAAAAACTTTAAATTTTAATAAAAAACACAATTTATTTTTATTAAGAGATGTCTAGCCACTTTTTTCAAATTTTGGGTTCAATTTTCTTTAGTTTATTTCCTAGATATTGAAAACAAAAAGGTTAACATCAACAAAACTAGATGCAAATTATTGATTGATTATTGCATAATCTCATTGCACAATGGAAAATATTATAATCTAAAAATACAAAAATTTTTGAGAGGAAACTAGACATCATACAAACTTATGACAAAGCTGTAATTTTTTTCAAAGAATTTTTGAAATTTCACTCGATTCTCTGGGCAAATCACAATATTGTTCAAAAATAATTGTTTGGATTTTGCTTCGTAATTGAAAAATAATTATTGCAAAGCGCCGTAATATCTAAATTATTGCAAAAACCGTAAATATGTGAATTGAATATCTAAATATGCCAATTCAATTAAATAAAATTAGTTTCACTTTAGGCTAGAACTAAATTAAAATGACCCATGAACGTTTATATATGACATTCGTTGCATTGGGTAAACTATTTAAATATTATTTGTTAGCTGCCCCTAATACTTATATTCCACATTAGCAAATAGTCGATACTTTTATACTAAATATTTTCTAGAAATATGTTTCATGGCCTAAGAATGTGTGCCGGGACAGCTAGTATATATATATATATATATATATATATAAATATATGTAAATATGTACTTCATATATATATATATATCCTTTTCTAGACCTTGTAACAAATAAATTCCAAACTCCTTTTAAAAATTCATAAATCTCCTTCATAAATATTTACACTAGATCGACGGTCATGTTTGCACAATTCCTATAATCGATATATCATCAAATATTTAATTAATCAGTTAATTACAGGTAATTACTAACGACATTTGTAATTTTTAATTAACAACGAACACTCTTTGGCAACACTTCAGAAACAAAAAAAAACTCAATCGGTCAATAATAAAAAGTAATAATAATAATAAATAAAAATAAATAAAAATATTAATAAATAAATAATAATAAATAATAATAATAGTAATGAAACATAGTGAAATAATAAATAATAACATTACTAATAAATAATATCATAAATTAATATAATAATAATAAATTAATAATAATAGTAAATTGAAAGAGTTAAAAATATATTGAAATAAGTAATAATTCTAAATAATATTAATAGTGAATAATAAATAATAATAATTAAAATAAATGATAATAATATAATTAATGTCTGATAATAGTAAATAAATTAGTAAATAATAGTAATAAATAATCACAATAAAGAGAAATAATAATAATATAATAAATTATATTATAAATATTAAAATAAAGTAGTATAATAGTATAATTGCTAAATATAAGAGTAGTAATAATAGTTTTTAATAATAATAAATATTTTCATTAATTTAATTTTATTACATAAAATTATATAATATTTTTATTCTATTTCTTAATTCTCATTAAATTATTTGTTAATATAATTCTGAACTAAGTGTGCTTATTTAATAATAATTAAAAATTATTTTTAATCTAATTCTAATTTAAAATATTACTAGTTATTTATTATTAGTGAGTCTGTTAATTTTTTATAATGGCGCAATTTAGTGGTGAGAATTATTTAAGAGTGACTCGAAGTCCTATGGAGGTTTCGATGTCGAATAATAACGAATCGGAAAAGTTTCGAACTGTTTTTCTCGATGTCAAAGTTAGTAAAGTTAAAATTCTGCTCTTATCTTATAAAGATGAAATGAAATAAGATAATTGCACCAATGTCAAATGTAAAAGAATTATTTAATTTCTTGTCAGTAGAGTCTCATTTGTTCCTTATTTTTTGTTTTTTGTCGTCCTTAGAGTTCCTTATCAGTTTTTTTTTTCTGATTCTGTATTATTTTTAAAGAAAGTGTTATTCAGATTACTCTTCAATAGAGTGAATTTAAAAAAAAACTATAAATTTGTTTTGTTCGTTTTATTTTTTTTTTTGCTTGACAGTAAAATACCATTTATTTTTCATTTCGAAATTCGGTTTGCTCGTCACTAGAGCCCTCTAATTGTCTTTTATTTCAATTTGCTCGTCAGTAGAGTCACTTTTATTAGTTCACTCGTCAGTAAAGTCTATTATTTATTTTCTTTTTTAGTTGGCTCGTTTGTCAATAGAGTTTCTTTTCTCTATTATTTCAGTTTGCTCGTCAGTAGAGTTCTTTTTTATTTTTATGATCTTCCCGTAGGACGCAAAAAAATCAAAAATGAAATTTTTTATTTATCTTTACGTTTCAGAGGTTTCTGAACATTTTGGCATACCTTTAAAAAAATGACATTTTGGCAATTGAAAACATTTTTTCCAAAAGTTTTTCATCCAAAAATGTCATTTTTTTCAAAGTTTAAAACAAATTTAATCTTTTTTAAAAAAAAATTTTTTGGTAAGGGAAGTTCCAGCAATTTGCCTTAAGGCACGATGCCATACACCCCACTAGTTTTATTTATATTTATTCGTCAGTACAGTCCATTTTCATT